AAACTCGGCCGATGAAGCCTCCACCAGTCAAGAAGGTACTTCCCTTTTCACCTTTATACGCATCTATATATCCTTTCTCCCAGTTCAAATCTCAGAATCATGAAGAAAATTATTATTCCTTAGCATTATCAGCTGTCTAATACAAAAACTGGCAAAAAAAAAAAAGAACGAAAACTATTATGGGTTTGTCTAAAGAATAAGAGCTATGTTAGTAATCACAAGGCCTCTTAGCTTTGCTTTAGGTTATCAAAAAGCCTCGTACCAATAGAAATACATTACTTACTTAAACTCGTGATCATTTCATAAATTAGCTGACGTGAGATTCATTCTCAACAATCTTCTCCTCGAACAAAGCACACGGTCGAACCTCTCTTGAGGTCTATGGAGCCCTGAAGTTTAAAATGAGTTAAACGCTACCAAAAGAAGGAAAGGAAGAAGGGAAGGAAGGAAAATGAGTGGTTTGGCAGAAGGGGGCGGGGTGTCAGAAACACAGAAAGTACAAGAATAAAAAAGGAACAGAGTAAGTAACGGTGGAGGAGACTGTTTAGCAACAGTTGGGAAAAGTTCAAGTTTGAATTGTTCCAATCATAACGAAGAATGAAAGTAGACAGCTTCTGTAATCTCGAAGATTAGACAGAAACTAAACATAATTGTGGGGGGGTAAACACAGAAGCAAAGTGGGTAAGGGACAAGGAAAACAAAACACAAGTTTACATCTGGACAACACTGAGAAGTATCTTTCAAGTTCTTTGTTTTTTAATTGTATTTTTGTTTTTTTAAATTTTAATGTTTTGATGGGGGCCACTCAAAAAATTATGTAGACTCATTCATCTCAATCAACTTTGGGAAAAATGGAGTTGGGTCATGGGAACAGAACAAGGTCTCAGAGGTGTTCCTGGAGAAGAACTGTAGCCTGTCATGGAATCACCACTTGACCAAAGACTCCAAGGAGACCAAGACTGTGATAGAGCATGGCAAGACCCGTGCCTCGCTTAGGTGGCGGAAGCGGATCGGCCATCTATTCCAGCTCATCAGAAGGAAAAGGCCCAACAAAGGGACAGTCTGCCACGTGGAAGGAGTCAAGACAAGAAAAGGCTGGATAAAAACTCTGACAAGGTCAAGGAATTCTGAATAGGCATAAAGGAAAATCTATCCCTGAATTGGAATTCAAATATGACATGTAAAAAGATTCAAGTCTAATCAATAACGTTTTTTTTATAATTTATTTGCCTATAGTAGTCTTAGTGCTTCAAATTTTGAACGGTACACCGTCATTACCATTAAGAATCACAAACCTCCATAATGGTTAATATTGTCCACTTCGAGCATAAGATTTCATGGTTTATAAACTCATATCAACTCCTTAATTAACCCACGTGAAACTCCTCTCCCAACAATTTTCAACAATTACCGAACGACTTCTTATTGTGTTTTCGACATCCATTGTTCTGTACTCATGTAGAAAAAGAAAAGGAAGAAGAATATATATACAAAGACAAACCAAATGAAAACAAGACATGTTTCCGAGTCAAAAAAGAATAATGTTGAAACCAATCTCACCAGCCTAGATATTCTCTTGCCATGAGCAAGCCTGTATGCATGTGGGAAGAAGATTAGAATTAGGCAGGGGCTACATCTTTTAGCAGTGTCCTTCACAAGGGCAATTTGTCACAAGTGCCCTATCAAGCAAGAGGACCATTGATTTGGAAAAAGGACCACAAATTAAGGTCCAGGAAAGAAACGCTTATAGTGGCGCGGTCGAAAATGACAAGACATCAATCTTCACCCAACTTCATCAACCAAAAACCAACACCAACGCCACTGATTAAACATTTTCAGCAATGTATGCATTTCCATTTTCTCATCCTATGATTTTATTATTGGTGGTAGGATACAAAGTGAAGAGGGTGCTTGCTTACACATGCCACTCCTCCCAAGTCAAACTAACTTTATATAAGCATCTAATTTCGGGTCACACAATCTATAAACAATGAAATTATTTCACAGCTCAAAGAGGATTTTATATGAATAATAGCCTTTATACTCTAACTTTGGTTGGTCTTTGTCTGTACTTTCCTTCATTTCTCACCTTCTTTTTTCCCTCTCCTTCTCTCTCCTCTCTCATACAGACACTGCTCCCTTCCAACAGCCGATCTCACATGTCTTGACTTTCTCTCCCCTCCCTTGTAATTACTCTCTCTCTCATTCTAACTTAAGTGAAAGCAAAGATAAAGCAAGATGGATCACACTCATAAACAGAAATTAAATAAAGAGAGGCACAAATTTACGTGGTTCGAAGAGAAGAAATTCTCCGACATCTACATAAATTTTTGTCTCTTTGTTTAACCTATGTTCGTGGGTGTGTGAGTGCAATCAATTTTGCTTCCGCTTTCGTTACAACATCTCTCTATAGGGTTCAATTTCCTATATGGTCTTCCAACGAGGTTGTGGCACCCTTAACACTTTAGGTTCTAGCTCTATTGCCCATTTTCCCTTTCACAAACAATTTCCCGAAGGTGAATTTCCTAGGAACTTTGTTAAGAATCTGTCTTTTTTTCACCCTCTTCAAATCCAATAAATGATAATATAAAGCACCTTTGATCCACGCTTTCACATAATTTTTTTTTTTTTTCATTTCAAAAGAAATATTACTGATGCATTCAACAGAGAAGGAGATTTAAAAGAAATAATAATAGTAAAGAAAGAGAGAAATGATACTATATATTACTCCAAAGACAGAGAATGAACCAGAACTTTTTTATTATATAAGATAAATTTAACCATTTAATATATCCAATACCCAAATTACGATCCAAATAAATTTAAATAAGTATTATTTCTGTATCTAAGTTGTCTTTTGTAAATAAAATTTCGTCTCTAATGATTCAGAAATTTAAAGGATTAGGCAAATTTAATTATGTAATAACCTTAGGGGATGATCTTGAGTTCATCTAAAATTACCCTATCTGCTTAGATGTGACTACTGATGTGACGAGTTTTACCTCACCGATCAGCCGAAAATAAAAGAGAGGAAAAGAAAATTTCCCCTCCAGAAATTCTGTGGACTGAAAGAACAAAATAAATGACATGGAGCCTCCTTCATGTGGGTGTGTAAAAGGCACAACTAAAGGACACATAGCACACTGGACAGAGAAATATGGTAGAAGAAAATAATGGGTGGTGATTGAACAATTCAAAGTGTCTGCTGCCCACATGCATCTTAACCGACACTCATTCACTGCGCAGCTTCTTCCATTCATTTATACAGTTCTCTTCCTTGCTTTTGTTTCTTAAGTTTTATATTAAAAAGAAAACCAAATTCTGCTTAATAATCTTATTCACTCCTTGAATGCAAATTCTGCTCAGTAATCTTGTTTCTGAAACTTGTTCTTTTTGGGCTTCCTTTGTCAAACCTTGACAATTGAACATCATAGAATATGTTATGATCTACGAGGCTCGAGAATTATTGTGAGATCCCACGTCGGTTGGAGAAGAGAAGAAGCATTTCTTATAAAAATATGGAAACCTCTCCCTAGAAAACGCATTTTAAAAACTTTGAGGGGAAGTTCAGAAGGGAAAGCCCAAAGAGGACAATATCTGCTAGCAGTGAACTTGAGCTATTACAAAATGGTATCAGAGCCAGACATCGGGCGGTGTGTCAAAGGACGTTAGGCCCCCAAAGGGAGTGGATTGTGAGATCCCACGTCGGGTAGAGAGGAGAACGAAATACTTCTTAGAAGGGTGTGGAAATCTTTTCCTAACAAACGCGTTTTAAAAACTTTGAGGAAAAGCCCGGAAGGAAAAACCAAAATAAGACAATATCTACTAACGATAGACTTGAGCTGTTACAATTATCCTCCCTAAAGTTTGGTTGGTCTCTTTGGCTTGATTAATTTTGCTTCTAAGAGTATATCCAACAAAATTTCAACAACTTCGAGAAGTAGAGATATCTTGAATTTATGATGAATAGAGGAGTCTAAAAGTAAAACTGCATAGGATTAGCAACAAACCTATGCAAAAGAACAATCTGAACCATGAGACAAAACAATCTAAACACTCCAATTTTTCCTCCAGACAGACACCTCCCCAAATTCACAGGATTTCTGGGCTAAAGCGGACAAAACTTCTTAAACAAAGTCCACGACTATTACTTCATAGCATGATCTCTCGAGTTCTTACAGTAATATTAATCGCTATTATCATCAACCAACTGTATTGTTTCTACTAGAAACAGGGTCAAATATTTCGATGTATTTGATGGGGCCTAAACATTGAACAAGCAGTGTCGCTATTCAGAGAACAAGAGAAAAGGTAACCATTTTGGCCCAGTAGTTTTAAAGAGTATAAGATTTTAAGAACCATTGATCTCCACGAAGGTATTATATTGTCCACTTTCAGCATAAGCTCTCATCGCTTTACTTTTGATTTTCCTAAAAGGCCTCATATCAACGGAGATATATTCCTTACTTACTAACCCACGATCATCCCCTTAATTAGTCGATGTGGGACTCCCCACCAACAATCCTCCCCTCAAACAAAGTATACTATAGAGCCTCCCCTGAGGCCTGTGGAGCTCTCGAACAACCTCCCCTTAATTGAAGCTCAACTCCTTTCTTTAGAACCCTCAAACAAAGTATACCTTTTGTTCGACACTTGAGTCACTTTTTTACTATACCTTCGAGGCTCACAACTTCTTTGTTCGACATTTGAGGATTTTATTGACATGACTAAATTAAGGGCATGGCTCTTATACCATGTTAAGAATCACAAACCTCCACAATAGTATGATATTGTCCACTAAGAACATAAGCTCTTATGGCTAACCTCTGCCTAAGTTACTAAAACAAACTACTAATTCATCTCTATTGGGTAGAGTGAAAGCTATCCATAAATAGATAAATACTAAAAAAAAAGAAATGCATCATGTTAGTAATCCGCAATTGTTCATAATTTGAATGGCGAACAAACAACTCCCCATCTACATCCCATAGTTGAAGTTATAAATTAAAATGTCCGGTAAACGATCCACTTATTCAAACATGATTTGAATATGACATCCATTGAGAATACATCAACACATCAGAGAAGAACATGATTCCAAATCCCTAACCCTAACCCTACCAACGAAACAGGGGATGCCATTATCAGAAACCAAATTATTAGGAAAGATTAAAGAGCAATCAATCTTCAGAAAAAAGAGAGCGTAAATATTAAAAAGCAATCAAGCTTCAGAGAAAGAGAGAGAACCTGTAAGAGACAGCTCCAATCTACGAATGTGACCATCTTTCACGGTCATAGAATCCCCATTTCTCTCGGCGCAATCGATGGAGGCTTCGACGGCCATGAGTTTGCGAGTAAATAGACACTTGAAGATGTTCTTCTCCTTCATCTTATTGTAGTACACGTATCGCTGATGCTAAAATGGTTGGATCTAACATAGCTCCGACGTTGAAGGGTCGGATCATCAGTATTCGAAGAACCCGCGGGAAAGGCATATTGGGAAAATTGGAGGGAACGGAACTGGGTGAACTCAACGGGAAGTCTTGTTGGGTTGGCTTGGTATTTTAAAAGGTATTAGATATTTTATAACATTTTAGGAAATTATTATATATAAATTGAAAAATATATACTTTTTTTTAGAACAAAAAAGGTAAACAAGTTCAAGTCCTAGACAAACGACTCTCCGAATGATATGACATTGTCCACTTTGATGACATTGTCCACTTTGAGCATAAGTGGACATGCTTTGCTTTAGGCTTCCCAAAATGAGAGAATATTCTTGCGTCATAAACTCACGAGAGAATATTCTTGCGTCATAAACTCACGAGAGAATATTCTTGCGTCATAAACTCACGACCATTCCTTAAATTAGCCGATGCCGATGTGGGACTTTTATGTAATATTTTTATAAAATTATCCAAAATCGATTCGTACCTATTATTGGATGATAAAAATCTCACATCAGTTAATTGGAATGGTCATGAGTTTATTACGAAGGAATACTCTCTCTATTGGTGTGAGGTGTGAGGCCTTTTGGAAAACCCATAGCGAAGCATGAGCGCTTACGCTCAAGGTTGGACAATATCATATCATTGTGGTTTATATATATATATATACACCATGATCATAATTTATAATATTTTTAGAAATAAAATCAAAATCGATTATCTTATCAAGTTGTGCCTCAAATTTAAAGAAATATTGCAGGTTTCCTACAATTCACTAGCCAAGGTTTGTTCCTTAGATTCGTTGTTTTTGGGCGCTGATGCAAAATAAATACGCTAAAACTGCACAAACTCTAAGTTCATGTACAGAGAAACTAAAGCAGAATCGATCCATTCATTAATCCTCTTCCTCGTCAGTGACGAATTTACCAGTTCCAGGATTCACAGCAGCAATGAAGAAAAACAGAACGTTCAACAAAACCAGCGGCTCAATTTCATTGATCGGCACTCCCGTCTCAATGTTCAACTGCGCCAACGCTCCCTTACCTGTAATAATTTCTCCGATCAGCGAGAACGCAAACCCTAGCTGCGCCAATCTTCCGACGAACAGCTCATTTGCCTTCGTGAATCCGAACAACGGACCTATACAAAAACAGAGCCGTCGTGAATTTGATGTTAAGATTTGATTTATCGAGATTTAATCGAACAATTCGTTTGCACTGTACTGCAACTCACCTCCTTCTTTGAGACCTAGCGCCGATCTGAGGCCCTTGCCGGGAGGGATAACGGCGCGTTCCAGTCCGGTGGCTGGTTCTGGATCGTCGATGAATTTTCCACGGTCTCCTAGCGCTCCAATGGCTCCGAGAAGAGTGAATAAGATGAAGAACAGAAGAAGAGGCTCCGCTTCGTAAATCGGAACTCCAGTTTCTAAATTCAGTTGAGCCAGAATTCCCTTTCCGGTGATTCCCTCTCCCAGCAACGACGCCTGCAAATTTTAATTAATTATTTTATTTAACTATTCCTGATATTTTAATAAATAACAAAATTCTAACCTTTTTTAAATTTAGGGTTTACAATTTAACAAAATAATTAATTAAAATAACAAATGAAATTAATTACACTCATATTTGCCATAATTAAATAATTTATCCCCACAAAAATATGACAAATATTTATGCAATTATTTAATAATAGTATTACAAAAATAACTATATATAAAATGGGTTTATTTTCTCATTATTTCTCTACCATGATTTTTAATTTCTTAAGAAAATATTTGCTCTATAAACAAAAATACTCTCCTTAAGTTATATATATATATATATATATATTTTTTTTTTTTAATTTGAGTTAGTTAATTAATTAATTTTTTTATTATGAACTTCACTTTTCTAGAGAAAATATTAAAATTCTTAATATACTTCAAATATCCATAAATAATAATTACAAGTTCAATTATACAAAAGAACAAAAACAAAATGTATATCCAATTGGAATTAGTTTTTTAAAAAATAAGTAAAAATAGGTTAAAAAAATTAAGAAAAATAATGAGTTAAAAAGAAAATTCACAAAAAAAAAAAAAAAAACCCTAAATTTCATAATCATGAACATAGATCCATACATTTCTAATTCAATGTGCTTAAACCGAAAGAATTCGAAGCGGAAAAGCGTGGAGAAAGAACTCACAGCAAAGCCGATCATGGCGACACGGCCGACGAACAGTTCATTCTGCTTAGTGAAACCAATGCCACCAGACGTCCCGAAAATGCCGTCTTCAACCTTCTCCTTCGGCTTCACAACCTAAACAAACCAAATCAAACCAGAAAACCTAAATTACTTCTTCTCAGATTCATAAATTCCTCTGAAAAAGAAAACGCGACAATTACCTTCTTCGCCGGCACTTTCGCCTTCGATTTAAAGATCGCAAGAGTCCTAAATCCACGCGCAGGTAAAGAAACGGAACTCGAAGGCAGAGGATTGAAAAACAAGCGACTAAATTGGGCGTTAGGTCTAAGCCTCTGCGTCAACGAAGCGATTTCTCTCTTCAACGCTACGCCATGGCTGGCGCACACACCGGAGGAAAGAACCATGGTTTGAGCCGCCATGAATGCTGTGCTTTTGATGCGAAACAATGCAGGGGAGTTCGTTAAAGCTTAAGCATATGGCTTGGGATTTTGGATGGGTTTTAAAGAAGATGGATCTGAGGAACAGAGGGATTTTGAGTGTATGGTGAGTGTAGATTTGGTGGGAGATTTAAACGATCGGCGAAAAGAGCGACACGTCGTCGTTTTATTTTTGTGATGGTAAATTGGTTGGGATGGGTTTGGAGTACGGTTTTTTTGGTTTTTGTCACAAACCTTAACAACTGGTTCATTCAGGGCCACTTGCCATTAAGAGTTTTTTTTTTTTTTTTTTTTTTTTTTTTTTTTTTTTTTTGGGGGGGGGGGGGG